CTCCTTCTCATTCTAGGGCATCTTAAGTTGGGTATACACATTTCTATTTTCTTCATTCAACCTACCGGCTGAACAAAGACAATAGAACAGATTCCTCTATTAATGCTTACAAGTGTTGATTGAGAAATCTATAGCTGTTTACTTCGTATTACATTGCCACCGACCGCTGTCAGAATACCCGAACAGAGCAAGCAGCTTATTGGCTGCTTGCTCTGTTCGGCCGAGAAATTTCTGACATGCCCCTTCGATCAGCTGATGGAGGGATGCCGTTTGGAAAGGTTTCGACTGCAGCACCCACACTTTGAATTTCAGTCATTTCATCAAGAACCAAAAACACGTACACAGGAAAATTCACCTGCAATGAATGTTGGTTAAAGTCACATTCTCTGCTTTATAAATATACCTCATATCTTTCACACATTACAGTGATTATACATGGGCAATCTTACAACATTTCAACTTGTGCTGCTTTGTCATGCTAAGCTGGATAGTCATGTCTTAGTTTTTTTTGTTATTTTTTGATAGCAGGTATTTTAAATATACTGTCCTTGTAATGTAGTCTTCATCAAATGGGAATTTCAATCAAATGAAACAGGTAATGAAGGGTTCTATTCGCTTTCTTGCAACCAAAAACACAAAAAAGAATTATATTCCTACTTCTAGCTGAAAGTGAATCTGCCATGTTAACATAAAAACACAAACCATGGGCCATAGAAGTGAACATTAACATGCTGATTACATTTGTTATAAACTTATGATGTAGTTTACTAGACACATTACAATGTAATAGCCTCCTCTAGAACCATTTTAAAAATGTAATCTAGTAATGCCTTTCTAGCAGAGTTCTGTTATTTAAAAAAAAAATGGTTTGAAATTTGTCTTATATTTGCTTGTCAGTGCGGAGATTTAGCCATGCTATGGCAAGTACAATATTACCTGTTTTCAAAGCAGAAACCTGCTTTTACTTGTTCCTTTAGGAACATTGCAAGAAAGAGCAGTAAAATAACTTGCTATGAAAGGACGAGACGTTACACTTTTACAAAATACAGCAAACATAAATGCATATAGTACAAGTGGGGGACAAAATAAAATAGCGTCTCTTCAAGGTTAAAATAAAAAAAACAATATTAAATTATATGGGAACTTTCACATAACAAATGCTTCTGAAAGCCATTTGTAGCCTTCATTTTTCATTTGTAACAGGAATATTATTCGGAACGGTCTAGCCATGCTCACTATTCCATTTAGACTCTTGCCCCCGTTCTGCTTCTCACACTTCCATTTACATGCTCTCAACTCTAAAATGAGTGCCATACTAATGGCCTATCCAGCAAGATGAGACCTGGGAGGAGTGATAAATGCACAGAGCTAGACATGCACTGCAAAGCTGGAGACATACACCGAATAAAGTGAGAGAAAACACACAAAAATTACAAAAGACATACAAAGAGCAAAGTTGCATAGACAGTAGGATTCAAGTCTAAAAAGAGTGTCTGTGATTCCCCAAGCAGCGATACACCCACTGTCTCAAAGCTTCATTCAAGTGTTCCCATTGTGCGCTGTGTATATCCACACCCTGCTCACCTCAGGTGTTTGACCATAGCTAGATTTTGTTACATTATAACTGCTTCACGGATTTCTGTGGACTTTATATATTTATATATTCTTCTACAGTGTAAACCACTCAAAGAAAAGACACAATAAAGTGGTAACACAGTTTTTTTTTTTTATTATTATTAGCACTGCACTGTTTTTTTGTGATTTTAATTTTTACTGTGAAGATATGCTTGTGCTAGAAGCTTGATTTATTTGTTTTTATTAGTTCCACATACACTAAGCGGCTTATATATTTGTATTCTTATTTCTGTCTGTGTTGCTGTTGGTGATTTGCCCTAACTTCAATTCTTGTGAAACTGTTGTCACTGGAACGATAGGTGAAGGGATATCTCTCTAATGTATGTGTTTTCTCAAACTGGCAATAAGCACACAACAGGGGTACTAATCCTTCCAAAATGTATCCAATACGTAACAAATTAGTTGGGCTGGGCATACACTTTCATGTATAAAAGCAGAGCCATTGTGGTCCTTATACCTATGTTCCTGGAAATTTCATGTATTAACACTTGGAATGAGAATTCACTGATATAACTGGATATATTACTTTGCTGTCGATCCAGATAAAAAAAAAAAAGGAAATATCTGGTTGGTTATTATTGGCAATATAGGCACTTTCACTTTCCGACTATTATACATGAGTCAAGCTGACAAAGTGCAATAGGAGATGAGAGAAAAAAGAACATTAGGAGGACATCTTGTACATAGAAACTAATTGGCTATTAACCTTCATGTATCTAGTGCAGTTTGTAGAATGTAATGCAGAACATAAATGGTTGCTATGGACCAGTGGTTCTCAACCTGTGTAACCTCAGGACCCACATTTGTCCCTGGTCATTAAGTCATGACCCAAGTTGCATTGCACTGGAACACACGGCATTGCGGTACCACGTGTTCTGGTGTGTGCGATTGAATTGTGGGTGGGAGGTATATTTGGGGTACCATTCAAATGAATGGCAATGCAACACACCTCCCATACCAGAATTTGCGGTAGGTGCAATTTTGCGTGGTACAGTGCGTTAATCGCACAGGACTGTGCGATTAAGGCACTGTACTAGTGTGAATGGGCACCCAAAAAACACTGACAGACACACCAAGCCACAAACACAATCTCACGCACACACCTAAAAAAATATTTTTATTTAAGATCCACCCAGTCTTCCTACTTTATGAGAACTGGAGTGCATCATCAGCCTGGGTCCAGTGTAGGATGCAGTGTTTTGATGGAGCTCCATCCACATGTGCATTGCTGGTATAGCTCCCTTGCTTGCCCTGTAGAGGTTCCGGAGCCAGAATATAACGTCATTCTGGTCCAGACACCTCTACAGGACTTGTAAGGAAGATGTAAGCAATGCACGAATAAAGTGGAGCTCCCTTGCGGCCATAGCCCTACCTTAAGCTCGCACTCAGCATCGGGCAGCATATTTTGAATGGCTGCTTGGCATGAGAACTGACAGTGCTGCTCTAGGGGGAGGCTGAGGAACCTCTCACCTAGAAAAGTGGAAGGCATGCAGTGACCCACTGAACAAAGGGTCATGGCCCACTTTTGGGTCATGACACACTAGTTTAAAACCAAAGCTATAGACAATACTAACAATTATTCTCACAGGCACTTTCATCCATCGGGATTAAAGAGAGCAGAAAAATAAAAGAGAAAGAACAAAACAAAATTAGTCTGGGGTTGGTTGTGTCGGACTGTTGATAATAAACCAACTGGAGAGCTTAATTTCTACATAAGCGTTTTCAGTGCCCCACCAAGGCATTTAAAGGCTGATTTATTCATCTCATTGCTTAATACTTACTTCTTGCAAATGGCATAATCATTTAACTTCTTGCAAATATATTTCTATGTATACTGCAACTATGAATTAAGCGAACTAACATTTTCAACAAAGTTCCTTAAAGTAGAACTGAAGCCAAAACTTTTAATTTTAGCTTTGAAATCTGTATGAGAGGGTTATAACCCTCCTTTCACTTTCTGTCTCATAGCCACAAGAGGAAGTGAGAGAAAATCTCTAAAAAAAGAGAATTAAATCCCTGGTGGTCAGCAGGGTCATCAGAACTAGTGTTCCCATTGGAAGATTTACAGTCTATTCCTGTTTGGGGAAATTCTTAAAAAGGACACAAACACCAATAAAACCTGGCAGATGTTTTAATTCCTCTCCACTCTATACAAAACTAAAAAAGAAATAGCTGCTTCAATTATCCTTTACCCTTTCACTGCCAAGGACATAAGTACTACGTCTGTGGCAGTATGCTCCTGTAAAGTGACTCCTGGCTGCTATAGAATCAGTTTGCATACATTTGGCTATGTGATTTCAGCAGCTTTAAAACTTCCAGTAGCCCTGCAGCTTGCTATCCCACGTGTCTGTCACCCCCCAGCCATGTATCCCAGGCTCTGCTGCCCCTCCTGAGGGCCTGGGACAGCCATGGGGAATTTTGGCTGCTACAGGGGAAGGAGAACAGTGAACATTCGGTAGCTGACCTCCTCTCCATTCAGAGGACCCAGAAGTGACAAGGATTTTGTCACTTCCAGACTCTGAGTTATTGTTCCTTGGCTGCTGTGGCTGAGGTTAGAAGCTAATCAAGCATGATTTGTTCTTGATTAGCTTCATTGGGCTGCAAAGGTGACCCCAAATGTCTGCTTAAAGAGAACCTGTCACCACTAAGCTATCACATAGCGGACTTGTTAGCCCTTTATGTGATAATAATAAGCTGATTAAAAAAGTGCAAAAAATTAAAGTTAAAAAGAGTTAATTAAAAAACACACCCAAAAAAGTCAAAGTTCCACTCCCACATTCATGCACATTCAAATGTAAATGCATAGGTCAGGTGCACCTATATATGAAACCAACGATTGTGCACGTTAGGCATCACAGTGTGAGCAGCGAGAGCAATAATTCTAGGGCTATTATTTATGGTTAATGATAAACTGATGACCTGGAAAAGCTTTTAAAGGTTCGCCTATATCACATTTTTGATACTTTTTTGCGGTTTCATGGACGCATTCAGTTTTGAGGCTTGACATATTTGGTATCTATTTACTCGGCACAACCTTGTCTTCTATATTTTACCAAAACATTTTGTATTTTGTGTTTCTGTGCACTCAAATTAATTTCAGTACATTTTTAACTGAAAAATTGGGTTTGATAAACTGATGTGTTAATATCATATGACATAAAAAATTGCAAGTACCAACATTTTATTTTCTAGGGTCTCTGGTTTCAAACTTCAGATACTGAAGCTTGGCCCAGTAAGAGATCCCTCCATCCACACAGTTTAGCGTAGATGGAGGATTCTGTTGAACTTTTCCATCGGACCATAGAAAAACTGCAGATAATCTGTAATTTATAGACTTACATAAAACAGATATGCCGTTCACTCACCAATCTTTTAATTACTCTCAGCAATAACTTCCGATGCTTTGGTTCTCTTCTTGCCAGCAGAACCTGAGCAAAGCTCTCCATGTTATCTGTGGTCATACTGTCCTGGCTGTCTCCACCATACAACTGGACCATCAGTGACAAGCACTGGGATGAGTTTTCAAAGATTTCAGTTTCTTCTGAGGGTAGCTAAAATAGAAAAAAATGGACCTGAGAATCAAAATAGTAAAAATACCATTCAGAAAAATGTAAACTAATTAAATTATAATAATACTGGCTGGTGTGGGCTACATGCATAAATAAAACACAACAGGCAGGCTAAGTCATGTCATCAATATCTTGCATATTTGAGAAGGGTTGAAGTGCACAAAATCATAACTTGTGAATTTCAAATTAAGTTGGATGAAAACTGATTGCATAAAGTCCAATGCTGCTTCCGAACTCAAAGACTACATTTTAAAAATGTTTAAACCATCCTGAAAGATCATACTACTCAGATCTCAGAACAAGCCATATGTAGAGTGTAGTAGAACATAAGAGGTTGACAGTTGTAGCCTGTCAGATGTGGTCATTATTTAGGCTCAAGATCTGTGTTCTTCAACATCTACTGATCAAACACAGAAAAAGGACTGCAATAACTTGGCCCCGAACAAATCATCTTACATCTTAAGAGTAAAATAAAGTAAGGGTGTGGATGGACTTTTATTAAAATGGCTATTGCATTGGAAGGATTCTGTAATAATGGAGGTGTTGGGCATCTCAGTGTTTGGCTTCCCTCTTCCTCTCAGCCCAGAAGTGTGCACCTCCTCTTCCTTTCCCTGGGAGCCCCCATAGGACAGACTAGCCTCTAGAGACTGTCCCTCTTTCCCTGGGAAAAAACACAATATGCACAAAGCCCCTTTGACGACTGCCTGGCCTCTACAGGCTTTAATGGGAACAAGATAATGTTATCAGAGGGAGCAGGAAGTGGGCAAAGGGCCCAAAAACTCCAGGCTTGGCCTCTTCTCCTCTCTGCATGTCCCTGCACAGGTAAAATGGAGGGATAGGGAGCAGTGGAGGAATATACAGTGGCAAAGTTGATGGCTGGCAGAAAGGTTCAGTGTCTGGGGTGTTGTGGTTTAGTATCAGGGTTGCTGGGAGGCAAAAGGTTCAGATTCAGGGGTGCAAGGAGTTCAGTGCCAGGGGTAGTGGGTGACAGTGAGATGTCAGAGTGCAGATTGCCAGGGGAATTGGGTACTTCTAAAAAAATTGTCTACTTGTAAGCCTGCAAAGAGGCTTCTCTGACTGAGCACCATCTGATATAGTGCAGACTCCTGGACTGCATCGCCCGATGGTCTAAGATAAGTGTAAGGCCTTGTTCACACCAAAAGCGTGTGCGTTCCAGAGCGGTAGCTGTGGAACGCACCACGATCGCTGAGAAACTTCCCCCTGCGTTTTTGGCCAGGAGGGGGCTTGTCCTATTTTTTGCGTTTCCAGTGGAACGGAACGCTGGCAAAGTTTTGCCACACGTTCGATCGCACTGCATACAATGCACCGCCACGCCCCCTCCAAAACACGGGGGGAAGTTTCTCAGCGATCGCGGTGAGTTCCAGCAGCTACCCCTCTGGAACGCACACGCTTTCGGTGTGAACAAGCCCTAAGGTGATTTCATTAGCATGGGTCGGGAGTTACAACTGTAACACAAAGCACTCTGTGTAGAGCATTGCATTCATTTAGGAGTGTACCCCAGCTACTGCAATGCATATACATTGTGCAGCACTGTATAAAAAAAAAAAAAAGGTGCACATCTCTTTTTTCCATTGTCATAATTAATTGGCTGCAGGTTAACTTGTATGCAGTAGCCCACTGCAATGAAATGGCATAGTGTGAATATTTTTATCTGCACTGCTGCCTATGTGATGTGTGGATTATAAGGATTTAGGAAGGGGCTTCCCACTATGGTAGGCAGTGTGTGCTTTCCATATGTTTTAAGAAACTTGCAGCTTGTTAAATCTCAGCTGCCTTATTACATGTTTAGTTTGAAATCTAAGAAAATATATTTTAAAGCAGTTCAGAGGTTGATAAGTTGAATGCTTTTATTATTAAAAGAATCGCCTTGCAACGTAATTAAAAAAAATATATATAATTTCTTTATGATTAAACCCAAAATAAAAAATGTAATAAACTGCAGCTTACTAGTCTTTATGTGCTGTGGTTGCATTATTTTTCAGCCATTTTCCTTTACTTTCACTTGTTGATCCTTTCAGTAACACACTTCCTGTCCTAAGGTGAGGACACTCATTTACTGCACTGTATTCATGGAGGTACCTCATTGCCACCCTAAGCTGCTCTCCTGATTTAGCACACACACTTCTCTCTCTCTCTCCTCATCTCTATTACATAGAAGGACAATGATTTGTAGTACACAGAGGATGGCTGGAAAAGCTGATAACATTGAGATTTCAGTTTAGTGCACAGGAAATTACAAGGACTCCTTATTTTCTCATTCGCAGGAACAACAGAAAGGTAGCAAATGAACGGTAACACTGATGTTAAAAGTGCCATCCTCAACAGCCATACCCAGTGTGTATCATATCCAGAGTGGCCCCTGCAGCAGGTGAGTCTGTGTTGCAATGGGACATGACCTAATTTCTGGCCCATAGCTCACACCAACTCCCTACCCCCTGGCTTCTGCAGCAGCTAACATAAGCAGCACTTCCAGCCAGGTTGCTCACACAACCATCCCTCCTGCCTCACCTCTGCTGCTGCTGGGAGGACTGCATCTGGAGTCACAGCAAACATCTCCTCAGGGAGGCGCCACTCACCACTGTGTATATAACTACCCCCCATCCCGAACATTGTTTCAGCACCTGCCCTCCACTCGTCACCACAGTGCCTCCTCTCCCCTTTTCTCCATGATGCCTAAAACTTCTCTATCACTGCATTTTTACGACACCCCTTACCACTGCAGCTGACCTCATCCTCTCCCCCTGCTCTCACCACCTGTCCACATGGCCCCATGTCACATGCCACTACACCCACACCCGCCTCTGTGCTTGCTGTCACTGCACTCATCTCCAATGCACGCATCCGTGCTCTCTACCACTGCAGTGGTGCTCCCTTCTGTATTCAGCCCATTCAATGAACAGGCACATAGAGTATTTACACTCATACAGAATGAGAAAAATAATATAGATAACACCCTAAAATATTTCCTTGTCAAATCTACAGTTTGCACATCCAATCCCAAAGATAACAGTGGTAATACATAATACCTATAGTCACATAAGCACATGCTTTTTCTTGTTCTATTGATTTATTTGACCTCTCAGGTACAATCTAATTGAGCCGCCACTTCACAACCCACTTGATGAATTATTTCTTTGAAGTTAGAATTAAAAGCATTTGGTAGAGAATGTCCTTGTGTTTTACCAATAAACTGGGTAGGCCAATATATTTTATATTTCCTTAGGCACTGTAACAGTAGTACAGTATTGTACTATGTTAGCCATGAATTAGTTCAGAAAGTTTGGCGGTTAAGTGATACTCTTTATTGACTAACTTAAATGGAAATGTAAAACAATAATAAATGTCAGCTTCTGTCTCCACCCGTGGCACAGAACTGAAAAAGGTATTTTTAAAAAGGAAAGCTGTGTTGCATATGTTATTGCAATGTAGTGGCATTGATAAGAACAAGAATATATTGCATTAATAAGAACAATATATACATTAGGGATACACCAATACCAGTATTGGTATCAGTGCCGATAGTAGGCATTTTCACTCATACTCATGAAAATGCCCCAATACTCAAAACTAATACTGGCCCTTTAAATCCCTGCACTTGCTGAAGATTACACACAAGCCTTTTGGGGACCTCACGGTGCCTGTTTACAGCGCCAGCACACACATGTCCCCCTTCCTGAGACTCTGGCACAAACCCCCGGGGACACGCAAGGGAAGGAGGAAGGAGGCCGCACCTTGACAGTGGCACCATGGATCCCCCTCCTAGGAATGTAAGATATGGGGGGCAGATATTAAGGGAAGGGCACAAATGGGGGGGGCTTCTCCGAGTACATCTCACATTGTTCTTGATACAGCGGTTTTGCTTCTGCACTGCTACATTGTATCATGTCCTGAGATCTGAAGATCATTCCTCCCCATCCCAACTATGGTACCTTGCTATTAAACTGCAAATCATTCCACCTTATCCCAGCCATGTTACTATGTTATCTGACTGCAGAGATTTGTACTCCTCTAAAGCTAAAGGTATTATTCCGTGTTGCTGTATAATGTATTGCTGGGATTTGTAGTCCTCTATAGCTGTTGCCACTCTGCATTGCTGTATAATGTATTGCCATGTTTTTTAGTCCTCTATAGCGATGTTATTCTGCATTGCTGTATAATGTATTCCTGGGATTTGTAGTTCTCTATAGGCAGTGCCATTTTGCATTGCTGTATAATGTATTGCTGGGATTTGTAGTCCTCTGTAGCTGGTGCCATTCTGTATTGCTGGGATTTGTACTTCTCTATAGCTGGTGGTACACTGTATTGCTATATAATGTATTGCTGAGATTTGTAGTCCCTCTACAGCTTAGAGTCAGTGACAGAACTACCAGGCTTGCAACGGCCTTTACAGGGATAGCAAGAAACAGCTAATAGCAATAATGGAGGTCTGCTGCAGTGGGTCTGTCCTCTGTGTGTCTTTTAAAAAACATGCTGCATGACACAATGGAAAACAGCTAGTCTCAAAGTGATAATGCCTTGTGTACTCACAAATCCAAGCAGCTAATGCGGAACAGTGTGGCAAGCAGGCAGGTGACAAAGTCACTGTAGGCAGACAGTGGAAAGAGATTAGATGCCAGTTGATTCACAAAGTGTTTCAGAAGCAGGATCAGGTACTTCCTCTAGACTGAATGTGGGAGAAAGGGCACAGAGTGCTTGTGCAGCACTCCATCTAGCATATGACGTCAGAGCTCATTTCAGTCAGACTTAACTGTTACCACTTTAACTTCGTAAGAAGGTGGGCATTTTATAATGACGCCCAACAGTACCAACTGTGAGGTAGCATCCAGTGCTTCAGTCCAACCGGCCTTACTCACGAAGTGAGCCTTCAGAGACAGGGCTACACAGGGCAAAGGTTGTGCCATGGCTCTGGACCCAGGAAGCTCTCTGTGGCTAACTAACTCAGTAGATGAAGGTCTGGAAAG